TTTTTTTCTTCTCTCTCCCTCTCTCTCTCTCTTTCTCTGTTTCCCTCTCCTCTTTTTTTTTTCTTTTGTGTAAATTTTAAACAAAGTAATTTACAAACCTGTGAATTGCAAAATGAAACAATCCGTTGGTGATCATTTATTTCATCATTTAAAGCAATATCTTTATCAATCGTTTGCTTTTTCCGTAAAGCTAAGCGGCAATCATTTATTTCTCTTACAGCACCGATATAATCATGCTGAAATGAAAATAAATTAAATTTAACACAAATGAAAATATGAAATTCCTTAAATTCTTATACATATATTTACCTTTATTTTCTTTTCTTTTTTCTCGTCTTTAAAGATAAACGATAAACGGTTATTTAATAATTTATAAGGCTGGAAAAAGTTTAGATGTTTGTTTGTAACAAAAGTAAGTTGCCATATGGAGATTTTTTTGGGATCAGTTTTGAATTTATTCTCAAAATAAATTCAGAAATGACCCTTCCCCCCCCCCTCCACCCCAAAGAAAAAAAAAAGAAAGAAAAAGAGAACGACAAATTAACTTGGAGGTTTGAAATGAAAAGGAGGTTTATTGTTGTTACACGTCATTATTGTTGGTGACAAATGACAAATGATGGAAAGATGAAAATTGCTGCAATTTTAGCAAAATGCGTAACTTACCGACTTATTTAAAGGGTTTTGATTTTGCTTAGGTATATTTACACGGATTTCATATAATCCAGCAGATTTTAAATGCAATTCCTTCGGTCTAGTACAAGAATTGGCCGGATAAGATGAATCGGAATGACAAACAGAACCGGAATTTGATTCAAAATTGCGACTTTTTGATTTCAGACCAGTCATAGATGATGAGAAAAGAGATGGTAAAAGATGAGCTAGAGTGAAATCTGGTTGTTTGAGTGTAGAATTCTGATGACTTCCTTTATTTTGCACGGTATTCCTCAGATTTCGAAGAAATGATCGATCATCAATAGCTGGTGAAAATTTAACTTTCTGACCGCATCGTATTTCTTCCACAGAATTCCCATCACTTGTTAGAGAATGCTTTCTGGTTTGCCACTGTTCGGCTGTTTTACGACGTGAATCACGAAGTTGTATCGGTCCACGCAAAAAAATACGCGAACCGGTATCACCTGCGTCACATTGTTCGTTATTTTGACTCATGAATGATTGACCTGTTGAAGTACATTCTTCACTAATTGTATGACATCCTTGATGCATGTATTGCTGTTGTTCGTGTTGCTCACTTAGACTTCTATTCCCAGTAATTTCTAGCTGCGTTCGTTGAGTTTGACGTGAGCAACGTATTGATGAGTACGTTCTACGCGCAAGTCTATTCCGGAATGGTGTCGCTTCATACGTCACATTGCATGTCATACTGCTAAAATAATTCTCTTCTCAACCAATGAAAGGAGTTTTATCTCCTTATCAAGCAGATCACGAAAATTTCACCACGATAGTCAAATTCACGATGTATGTTGTATAAATAAGTATCCGGTGTTAGATGTGAATCTCAAATGAATCTTATTTCTGATATTAATGTATAGAATATAAAAATTGGGAAGATCTATACCTCGAATAAAATCGTTTGACTCTCATTAATGAACTTCATTTCTCTCAGTGGAATTCCCTTCATCTTCAAGTTTCCCAGTTACATACGTTTATATGTAGGAATTTTGAGAATCACAATTATGTAAACATTGGTGAAACATACGGAAAATAATGTTAACATGAAAGTGACAGAGTTATCTATTATTTAGTTTTCGAAAATTGCTAAAAGTAAAATACTTTTGGCATAATATATAATAAGGTAATTAAGAAAACAATAAAGAAAATAAGGTAAGGTTTAGCTAGTTATAGGTGTAAGATGATGATTCCACCTAACTGTATCAGTAAAATGAAATTATGATATGGTACTATACACAAAACGAGAATCTATGATACAGTACTATGCAGGAAAGGAGAACTAAGATATGAATTACGATATACAATAAAAGGGAACTATAACGTAATACCATACAGGTAAAGGGAATTATATAAGCATGGTACCATACAGATACAAGCATCTTCCGTTTAACGACTAACAAAATCACATAAAATATCTCAAATTCAATATATTTCACAATTCAGATCTTTCCCGATTGAAATCCCAACAAATGGATTTCCTTTTCGTCTTGTAAATTTTCAAATAAAATAAGAGGAAATAAATAAAGATGATCAAAATGTGAACGATAATTATACAAATGTTATATCAACAAATTAAGTTATCAATTAAAAATGATAACAAATACAACTGTAAATAGTATGCAATGAAGGATGTAATTAATTACTATCTAAACAATATTCCATCTAAAGAATATATAAGTATTCCATTTAAAGCATATCGAACGCTCACGTATAATATCCTATTATAACAATATTATCCAATGTATAATATCTTATTACAATGATATACAATTAGCACCTATTTGGATGAATTTTGTAAATTATGTCTTTTTTTTTTCGTTTTGTAAAAAAAAGAAAGAAATAAGAATCAAAGAGACAGTATAGAAAGCACAATCGCTCATTCATTTCGCATTGCAAACGTATTCGTATTCGTCTCCCATCCTGTCCTGTCCTGTCCTGTCCTATCCTATGATAGGATACTATCATGTCTCATTCTTCTTTCCTTTCATTTTGATGCATGATGTTCTCTTCTCATCCGTATCGGATTCGAGGACATATTTTTTTTTGGCGGGAATTGTTATTTTGAAACGAAACATTTGAAAAATGCATCACTCATTGCTATTCTTTCTTCTTCATTTTTCATACAATTTCACTTGTTGACGTGATTGTACACGTACGTCAACATATATAGTTAGGAAACATTCCTAACTTTTTTCATCATTTATTTACGTGTCTTTTTTTTTTTTTTTTTGTTCATATACTGTTACAATTAAAAATTGATTGTAATTTTGATCTTTTCAGTTTCATTAACAATGGGAAAGTTATGAACTTTTTAAATTTGATTATATTAAATGCCATAAGAGTGATAAATAATTATCAGTGATATAAACATTTCTTATCTACTACATATACCATTAAGATATATTCAAATGTATAGTTAGGAATTCATTACGGATTATTATCACTTTCAAAAAAAAAAAAAAAAGGAAAAAAAGAAATGATGCATTAAAATTATGTATCATTATAGTGATATTTTCATATCTCATATTTGCTTATATACTGAAATAACTTATAGCAAGTATGATATATGAAGGAAAACAAAAATGAGAATAGGTAAGGTACCATTAAGCATTTCAGGTCAATCAATGGCGGTGATGACGCATTTGTTTCGAATTATTTTATGAAAATTGTCATATTTTTATTAGGAAGAAACAATGATAATAGTTGAAAACTAACTCCAAACGAATAATTATAAATGGATTGCTGTTCATCATCAGATATTCCATCTTTGAATATTGCCATTTTTCCTGAAAATAGAAGTTTTTTTTTAAACTGTTGAAACAAAAATCTCTCAGATTCAAAGGTAATAGATATGTCCAATTCCGAAATTAACAAATCATTTACCTGTTTTCATGCTTGTCTGGAACTCTTTGATCAAATTCGATTTCCGATCAAGTTCAGAAAGCTACGAAGAACTGGAAGCATAAATTCATTTAAAAGAAAAAGAAAAAAAAAAGCACGAACTTCTGGAATAAGTCAATCAGTTTTAACATCTAACTAGAAAGATTTATGAATGATGAAACAATTTGAAGGAATACCATAAATATTTATTCCCATTAATGACAACCATATATATTGGTGATCATGCTACCTGATACTATCGCATGCCATACTAATATCGCCTCTCTGAATCTTCCCGCACTTTCCCTGAAAGATTTTTTAATTTCACATGTCAAAGTAAAAAAAAAAAAGAAGCAAAACAAAAAAAAAAAGAATTTCACCTCATTTATTACCTCACCCTTACAACAATTAATTTTCGATGAAAGGTACTTTAAACTTTTCATCCCAATATGAGGATCGGAAAGATCCTATATCTAATTAGCATTGCTTTTTTACAAAAAGCCTAATTAGCTCTACATCGGTCTACTGTCACAACACTCAAAAAAAAAAGGGAAAACTCCGCTAATCAGTCATTTTCAGAAAGTTGATTTTCAGATTTTCGAAAAGTATTAACCAGTCATCCTAAAATATGTTTACTTTAAAATGCGCTGTCGGGAAAATGTCACCATCAAAATGGCAAAAAATATTTATTATCAGATGGAATTTGATTGCAACCAGTATTTTATTCAGAATATTTCGGAATCGATAAGTGTCACAATTACGTCAAATTCTATCTTTGTTGGAAGTTTTTTGTAAATTTGACGCAAAATGCTAGACAAACATGGTTCACGTATGGTAACCAGTCGTTCATCAGTTTTGCATTTTCGACGATTTCTTTCTGATCGTGATAAAAATTGAGTGGGTTCATTCTGCTTCTATTTCTTCTTGCCAATTTTTTTTCATTTCCTTTGCTTGTCACAATTAAATAATGAATCTCAAACTTGGGTAATTAAATCTTTACTATGATAAATTGGCTAATACAGTAGCAATTACAGTATCAGTAAGAAAATTCAATGATGATACCAAGAGCAGAATAAAGGAAGCTCAAATTACGCCTGATATTCCAATCAATAAACCCAGCTTCTATATATTTGTAAAATGAATTGATGCTTAAAATCCTTCGCTTCCTTAGTGGTATGGCCCTGTATCATTTCAAGTTTACAACAATTAGCATCTTTATAAAGCGCACATTGGTATAGTACTCTTTATTAGCGCAAATGTAAGACGATATACGTATGAAGCACAAAGATGTCTGGCTTTCAACAAAAGAGATTACTGTTCCTTTGTTTCCACTCCCAATATTAGCGACATTCGGAAGGCCAGAGAAAATATAAAGTCTAGGTTTTCAGAGCCGGAGATATCTGGAAGGCATAGATGTCGCATCGCTCGAGTTGACCGCATACCATTCGACATCGTCACGTTAACAGATCAACTATGTCCGTCTTTTCCCTCGATCAGTTTTTCCCTTTGACCCATTTTCCATGAATTTCTAGGACCTTTTCCTTTTAATTATGCTACTTTGTCATTGATTGGCTCACGTCGTACACAACTGCGAAAAATTTTATACAGTTTTCACGTTATTTTCCTTACTTCTTTCAAATACTCCTCTTGCCATATTCTCTAAAAGCCTTGTAACTTTCTTCGGGAATTCTGGTAAGGGTTGATTGATTTTTGCTAAATGAAGTGGTTTTGTATCATACTCGAAGTTTTGAGTTCGCCATTTTCATGTAAATTATCCTTATATTCCAACGAATTCTTCACATCGTTACAGCCAGGCCACAGAAAAACCCCTTGGACATAATAGTATCCATCCCTTTCATAATCTATCAATGGTCTTTCGTTTACCAAGAATTCAATCTCAGTTATCATAGTGGTGAATTCCCCTTCTTCCGTGAAGTTCTTTCTTACTGCCCTCCGTAAAGTTAGTTCTTTTCACTACTCCAACCATCCTTTCATAGAGACCTCCTTGCCACGGGGCCCCTCGGGTAATGAATTCCCACTTTAGTAGTCTTTGTCCTTGATTGTTGTTCTCCTATACTAATTTAGAAGCTAGAACAAAGTTCATACGTTATCGGATAACATAAAATTTGGACATCGCCTTCAGCTAACAGCTTACATAAAAGAAGTTTTAGCAGACATGTTTTTCATGACTTTCATGTGAATGGCTTTTGTGACTAGGCACGTGAATAGAACCACCCAGCAACTTTGATACTGTCCCGTTCTCTTTACCCACATATGACCAAATAGATCTACAACGGTTTTCTCGAAGAGTCTGCTCACCGTTATCCTTTCAAGGTGGAAACTTTGATTACTCAAAGGGTATGAAACTCTACCTGTTACATCCTTTACAGAGTTTTCTAAGCATGGATTTAACATGTACTCTACCATGAGGTATCCAGTATGTTTGCTAGACTTTGGCCCAAGTACGCGGAGGCATGAAACATCCTTTCATGATATTGCTTTACGGTTAACTCCGCAGTTTTTCTCCTACAAATAAAACACGGAAAATCATTACTTTTGGTTGAGACCATCTAAGTCCACTTTCCCATGGGCCATCACTATCAAGTTCTAATCCCCATTTTTCAATATTTTTGGAATACTTCAGACTGAGCCATTCTCAGCATCAGTTTCTTCGTCTATTCGTAATTGAAGAGGTAAACCAAACCTCCATTTTCCGTAAACTCTGTCAAACTTTTCAGTTCTCCTCCAGATGATTTTGCTACAAATCTCATAACAAATAATATGGTCCGGAATGATTTCTGTAGTGACAAAAATCGTCCTATATCTACGATTGTCGCCTTTTGATGATATTTCCGTGCAAGCTATTAATCATAATGCCATATCAATCCTTTCTCCAGCTTCGTTGATTTCTTTCTTTGGTCATTGTTCATTCTTGCGCGTGTATCATCCAACTTAGCCCATTCCACCATAGCAAACTACCTTTCAGTACTTTTGGCAACACTCTTCGAGAATCCAGATCAGCAGGATTGTCTACTGTCTTAATATGGACGAAGCATGATACCTTCGACCCCTTTTATTTCAATTATTCTATTGGTAATATATCTTGATCCTACAGGAAGCTTCTTAATCCAATGCATCGCACAAGCACTATCAGTCCATAGTTTACCTATTCTTTATCGCAATTCCTTCTCTTAAAATTTCTACTATTCTTGTTTCTGTTGCTATTGCCAGCAGTTTCAATTAAGGAATTGTAGCAGACTTGTTACTATCTTCTCTCCCTCAGAACTAATCTTGATTTCCCATAGGTCAAGTAGAATTTAGATGGTAGTTTACCTTCTGTTCTTTCGTATATCGTCACCTCGACTGCTTGTATCGAAGCGCCTACGAAAACATGGAGATCCCGATTTTCTTTTGGAACCCATTGTGGTACTATAATTTCTGGTATGTCTATGATTGCTTCAGTCAACTTCTCATAGTGATATTTGTCCTATGTCTCCAACTTGTCATCCCAATTATTCCCTCTTTGCCATATATTTTGCATCAACACTTTCCATGATACAATGATGGAACATAGTAGTCTTAACCGATCAAAAATGAGGGATTTTGATTGCAAACTTTCTTCAATGATGTTCCATTTCCATTGAAATAAATTCCTCTCTCTATTCCATTTGATACCTAGCAATTTTTTAATGAATCTTGTTTCTTTTTTGCTGACCGATTTCCTCGTTGATGTCGAAGTCCGCATAAAATCCTCTCAGATTCATTTCTGTTTTTTATAAACAAACCTTCTGCTTCCTCTTTCTAATTCCTTCTTCCACACTCTCCACTACGTTATCAATATAGATATTTCTTGCTACTTCTCCAGATATAACTGAGATTTCGCTGCTGAGCAGATATCTTATGATGAGAGTAAAAATGGAAAGATATTGTTCCAAACGGCAATCTGCTGGTAGTAATGTTTTCTAGTATCATTCCTTACCAGATATCTTCCAATCACAGGAATATGGTGACATTCCGATTATCCTACAAGTAGGCACTTGTAGGAATGCTTTCTCTACATTTACTATTATTACGTAATACGTTTGCCTGGCACGTAATATTATCCCTATCAATGATGGTACACGACTGGCCCTCTATGTTCGTTTAACGATAAACCTTCCGTCGTTCTTACCGATATATCAAATACTGCCCGTAATTTCGTTGTAGTTTTTCTGCGATTTTATTACCACCTGATGCGGAATGGTAGAGTATTCGTCCTTCACTCTTTCCCTTCACTTTTTCTATAACTTTATTTTAGAATAGGTTTTTTTTAAAATATCCATCGTAATTACCTAGAAGTTCTAAGAGCTTCCTACACTTTTCTGTGGATTTCAACTGCCCTAGAGCTAGGCCATATCCTCTTGCTGGACAACATTTTTCGATGGCCAGCTTATGAACGAACATCTTCCTTCTTCATCACTAGTTATAGATCTTTGAAAAGCATTCAGTGTATCACTGTCTTGACTATATGTCATCAGCTTTTTGATTCCAATAACCTCGAGTTTCCAATTTTCTTCTAATTAGACATTGAATAGTTGTCACTCTTTATTCGTTGCATTAATTTGTATCTCAGACTCCGCCGATATTCTGTAAGGTACTGATTGTAATTATAGTTTGATTCATTTCCGGATATGCCTCCTTCAATAGTACCTGTTTCTGTATCCATTACAATTCAGCCAGATTCTTCCGTTTTTATTAAATTAGAAATTGCCAGTTGTCCAATCGTTCCTATTCCTAGTAATATATCTGGTATTCCCCATTTCTCCTTCAGTGAGTCCCCGACTGTGTCAATTTGCTTATGCCTTATCCTATCAAATAATCAATTCTGTAGTGTACGCTTAAGCATTCTTTATAGTTCCAGACATTATTCTAATTCCAAACATTGTCACTCTGCTAGAATAACTTTTCGTATCAACAATACCTGTAAACCTTACTAATTTATTTTCGGATTTTCCTCGTTCATATGGATTAATTAGCGTTTGTTCAACCTCTGCTCCTGTTGTTGCAACTATTTCCGGCTTTTCATGCTTTTCAACTTCGACGGAACATTCTTCCATTCCTGTCCTTTTGGATGCGCTACACAGGGCATTGTTGTGATTTGCTCTATAGTGACACATCCTTCAAGCATAATTTGCATAATCCTAAACTCATCAGTTTTCCTAGTCTCATTGCTACTGTTGAATACTTTTTACATTTTTCATTCCAATGATCACCATTTTTTCTTTCTTCCGGTCGGTTTGCACAACCTTGCTCATTGCGGGGTTTGAGTGCTGTCGCGCAAATGGTCATTCGTCTCATCTCTTAGGGATTAGGTTTCGGCCTTGTGTTCTGGGAGCTAAACATCGATGTATTCAGTTCACGTTTTCTCAGCAACCTTGTCGGTACGTGACCCATATTCTTTTGGATTTCCATTTGCTGCACTTATTTCGTGACTTCTAAAACTTCTGTAAGTTGCCTTTATAAATTTTTTTTATTTTATTTTATTTTTTTCTCCCTTATCTTAATTTCTCCTTTATTAAGCTTCATAAGAGGTAATCTGGCAACTTTTCAGTTATGGTAGTTCACAGCTGATTTATCTCCATGTTATACCTTAATTCTTTTAATTAGGAGAGGATATCCAGCAGTAGTTCCCTTAACTTTGTCCTGCCCAATTTCTGCAACGCGGTGTATAATTCCATTATTCTTCTTTATTTGTCACCGTATTGCTCCTTCAAAATATTTTTAGCTAATGTATAATTCTCTTCATTTAGAGCTAAATCACTTATATGTTCTAGCACTTTTCCTTTCAAACATCCAAGGAGGTGCACGAACTTTTTTGTCGCTGTTATGTCGTTTCTTTTATCAATTGCCTCTTTAAATTGGCTTATAAACAGATTCCAAAAATTTTGAATTTCCATCGAATTTTACTTTCTCTATTTTCTAAATGCTTGCTTGTCATCACCAATTTCTCGATGAATTCTTAAGTCTTTACTTCGTTTTTTGTTTTAACTTAATTTTACGTTTAATCCCTCATTTACTTCCTCGTATAATGGACGCATCCGATCTATTTCTTCAATTAGAAATAACTCGAACGTAACACATTTTGTGACAACTGCTAAATAAGTATTCTTTTGAGTCCAAATAGGACTTATATAAATCGATTTCATAATCCCTTCCTTTGTCATTAACAAACTGTAATGCTTCTTTCCATTCCTTTTCTAATGCACTTACTTTGGAAATGATTCCTTCAGTTATTTTTAGATATCCATTCATGAGTACCCTTCCTCTTTTCAAGAATATTGACTTCCTTTCACTACCTATTTTTTCTTGTACTTCTGCACGAATACTTTTTACCTTTCCCAAGACCAGTTTAGCTTCCAACACGAGTTTATTCAGGTTCATTCTGCTAAGGTATGATACGAACTTTCTGTCCTTTTTCATACTTCTGCTTGAATTACCTTCACTTTCCATCATTTCGTGATTATGTCAATAAACAACTTACACGCTTTTTTGAACTTGTCTTTCGTTTCGTGGAACCAAATTTGTCGACGACTTCTTTCTGATCGTGATAAAAATTGAGTGGGTTCATTCTGCTTCTATTTCTTCTTGCCAATTTTTTTTTCATTTCCTTTGCTTGTCACAATTAAATAATGAATCTCAAACTTGGGTAATTAAATCTTTACTATGATAAATTGGCTAATACAGTAGCAATTACAGTATCAGTAAGAAAATTCAATGATGATATCAAGAGCAGAATAAAGGAAGCTCAAATTACGCCTGATATTCCAATCAATAAACCCAGCTTCTATATATTTGTAAAATGAATTGATGCTTAAAATTCTTCGCTTCCTTAGTGGTATGGCCCTGTATCATTTCAAGTTTACAACAATTAGCATCTTTATAAAGCGCACATTGGTACTCTTTATTAGCGCAAATGTAAGACGATATACGTATGAAACACAAAGATGTCTGGCTTTCAACAAAAGAGATTACTGTTCCTTTGTTTCCACTAGCGATATTAGCGATACGCATATATACACCTTGTTGCATATATGCATGCATTCACATATACATGCACATATATGCATGCATATACATATACATGCACATATACCTTGTTCATTACTTGATTCCTAATCATTGTATATTTGATGTTCCGAATCAGTTTTCAGGCTTTTCTTCTCTCATCTTTTAACTAATAAAAACTTTTATAGTAATGTTAACTTTATCAAAATTAATTCATTCATATCGATTACATGAAATCCAAAAGCTGGATAATTTATCACAAAATATTGTTATTTATTGATCATTTTTGTACTGGATTAGTTACTGAAATTACAAAATAATTTCAGTTTTTAGTAACATTCATTGGGGTACTTATCATAAATATCATAATTCATACAACTTTTCCTTAATAAAAGTTATGTGTGATTCTTTTTAAATGACATTTACATATAGCAAATGTCGAATAATTCTGGTTAATCTGAATGCTGAAGATTTGGATCATTTGATTTGAGTAAATATTGAAATCAATGGCATCTTTGTTATTTATCGAAATTAAAACATACAGATCAATGCTGTAATATAATATCCAACTATCATTAGTGAGCAAACATATCACAATGAAGTCATCAAGTTTAATTTCAAAAGTAGTCAATTTCAATTTCCTTATTTTTTTTTTTGAAAACCAATAAGTTTATAAAAGACAGACCAAAATCATTTTCATTTGATGTCATGATGCAGTTTGTATTTTCTGTGAAAAGAATATAGTAATTATTCATCAATACCATATACATGACGCATAAAATAATTAGCTGAAGAAATTCATTTTCCAGGTGCGCATTTCTTATTAAAAGTTCTGAATTGAAAAAAAAAGGAGTAAAGGAAGGAAATAAATTAATAATTGAAAAAATGAAGGAAGAAATGGATGAATGACTTCAGACTTAAGACATTATGAAGTATTTTATCTTATTTTTTTTTTTTCATTTGAAACAATAAGACCCATTTATTAATGACTTTCATGACAAACAACAGCAAATTATTTTAGCCATAATGGATTTTAACAAATTCTTTTTCTTTTCTAGAATTTTTGCAATTGGAGAACATTATTTATTGGTTTTTATACGTTAAATTTTATCAAAATCCATCATTATTTAATATATTTTTAAAAAGTTCGGAAATTTCCAAAAGAAAGAAAAAAAATTTTGTTTAACAAACATTACAAAATATTTGTTTTTAATGGAAGCATACAACTGTTACAAAGATTTTTGTAGGTTATGATATGTTGAATTAAATTGAGAAATGATTTCAGGTACTGTATGAATTTTCTTTTTGTTTCAAAGCTTATCAAAATTTTAAATTATGGAGTGAGAATATTTATAAATTTGATGATGATAAGTTAAAATATGAGCCTATACGAATGATAACATATTGCTTCATCAGATTGAAATGAGTTTTTGACACAAATCTTGAGCCACCACATCGACTGAATATAAAAAGAGGACTGATAAGGAAGATATATATCAGTGCTATTATCATCTATTCTATTTCATCTTCTCTTCCACTTCATTGATATGTATTGAACGAATCATCAAGTAAAATTGGAAATTAATCCAAAAATTTGCATTGAATTATGCTAAAAATGTTTTATTTAATCAAAAAAGATAAATGATAAATTAATCACAATTTTTGAATCACTTTTTTGATCTTTTTTTTTTGTTTCATCTGTTATAAAATTTACATGATATTAATTACAATACATCTATGTCCGTTTTGTTTTAAATATATTTTATTTTTATTTACTTTTTAAACATACGTAATTTTTGATTAGTATTTTCCTGAGACATAAAAGTTTATTTAGAAACATTCCATCTTTCATTTAATATAATTCTCATAAAAAGGTCACTAATTATTAATGAATAAATAAATTTGACGTAAATATTTTCCTCGAAAATTTCCGTTTCACTAATAACTCTACCCAATGTAATTATCATTAATTTATCAAAGCTAAAATGATAAAGCATTATATTTGAAACTTTATGATGTATTAGACTAACACAAATTCCATTTTATCAGCTAATATAAATAAAGCTAAAATGATAAAGCATTATATTTGAAACTTTATGATGTATTAGACTAACATAGATTCCATTTACAATAAAATTATAAAGCATTTTATTCAAGTAAATATTAGCCCAAGACATTTCCCGATTAATGTTTATTCGGTATTTGACTGAATTATTATTGGAGTAACTAAATTTTTGTAGTTAGTCATTTTTAGATGTCAAACATTTCGATACCAAATGTTTGTTTGTTTTTTTTTTCAATTTTAATTCAATAGTATCAATCCAAAAATGAATAATTTGTGCCATTTAATTATTCAGTTTTGTGCTAAATATAATATTACTAATTCAAATTTAGCAATGAAACATTCCGAATGTCAATGAATATCAACGAATTTTAATGGATCAGATGATAATTGTTTCAGAATATCTTATTGATAATGTCAACAAATGTTGCTAATTTTTTTTTTCTCTATCAGGGAACGTGAAAATATTCGTTTTTATTGCTTCAAAGTGATATGATATGTCGTAATAATAACTATATTGAAATGCTACCAATGAAAGAACGAAATAAGCAAAAGGAAAATTTTAGTAAACAATGATTAAATAGGATCAAGTGATAAAATCATTCCATGAGTTATATGTTTATAATTAAATTTATATAGCACGACGTAGAAATTTATATACTACAAAATATTTATATACCTTGAAACAGTAGTTAAATTAAAAAAGTTCATATTTATATACCTGTAATCATTTAAAGATAGAATTGAGATGAAAATAGAAGAAGGAAAAAATCAAATCAGTGCAAATTTTGTATTGAAAAATTTTACAGATTAAAATATAAAGCATTACGAAATGATATGAATTACATAATTTGCATCATTATTGAATTATTGAATTATGTGCATAATTTGAAAATGAAATTTTAGGTTGCAACATTTCGTCACTTAAATTTAATGTTTGTTCCGAAAATTATGAAAAATCCGAATATAACTTGAAATTTATGCGTAGATAGAAAAAAAAAAAAAAAAAAGTAAAAGAAAACAATAGCATATTTAGTAGAAGT